GGGGGGGGGGGCACCCGGCTTGGCCCCGTGCCAAAGGCTACCGTTTTATGCTGCCTCTGAGGGTCTTTTGCTCTCGCGAAGCCTCCCTTTGTCCCTGCCAGGTGGCTGCCACCCTGAACAACTTGGCCGTGCTGTATGGCAAGCGAGGGAGGTACCAGGACGCTGAGCCTCTGTGCAAGAGGGCTCTGGAGATCCGAGAGAAGGTACCGACACCCGCACCCAGGCCACTCCCAGTCGGAACGGCTGCATCCTTGGCCTCCGGAGACGGGCTGTTTATTTGCTTATGCATTTTATTTATTTATAATAAAGACAGAAAATTCATTGCCTGCCCACCTTAGAATAACTCCGGGCTCCTTACAATAATACAGGATAAGCATTATCTATGCCAAACGCATAAATAAGTGAATGCAAACCACGGGCCCCGGTCCAATTGAAGAGGGAGAGGGACGGGGCTGCACCTGCAGGCAGAGGTGGAAAGGTTTAGATCTGGAGGGGGAGGAAGAACCAGCAATTGGACTCCCTCCCTCCCCCACAACCTCCCAGTTGGGCAGAAGCATCCTTGGCCCAGGCAGGAGCAGTGAGGGGGAGAAGCCCCGGAGGCCGGAAAGCGGGGAGGGCCCTGAGCTGGTCCTGGCACCTATGGAGGTGGCTGCTATAGACCACTTGTGGACTTCCAACTCCCAGAATTCCTCAGCCAGCTATGCTGAGGACTTCTGGGAGTTGAAGTCCACAAGTAGCCAAGGCGGGTGGAGACCCCTGCTATAAACCAGGGGGAGCCTTCTAGGGGAGCCGCCCTGTTTTCAGACCTCCTGCCATCGGAGGGGGGCAAGGAGCCCCCCCCCCGGGTGCTGCCCAGCTGCACCAGCAGCGCATCAGCTGAGCACCGCTGCCCTTCTCCCCACAGGTGCTGGGCAGCAACCATCCGGATGTGGCCAAGCAGCTCAACAACCTGGCCCTCTTGTGCCAAAACCAGGGGAAGTTCGAAGAGGTGGAGCAGTATTACCGGCGGGCCCTTCGCATCTATCAGGCCCAGCTGGGCCCCAGTGACTGCAACGTGGCCAAGACCAAGAATAACCTGGTAATCCGGGGGGGCGGGGGGGGGGGGGGCGGGTTGGAGTTTCTCCCCAGGACTTTGGAGGGTTAGCGCTGCCTCTGCTGGTCTGCCTGGGTGAGTCTCTTCCAGTGAAACAGGTCGAAGGGAGGGCAACATCGGCCCATGGCGAGGCTTTAAAACCGGGCCGGGGTCTCCGGTTCTTCACCCCCGGCCTGCAGGCAGAAACATCCCAGCCAAAGCAGCGGGGGGCGGGGGGATTCCTCGCTCGCCCTTTGGGGGGGGGACTGCGTTTCCTCCCGGGTGGGACCAGCTGCTGCCCACCTGGGGGGGGGGCCATGGGGGGGGGTATGGGGGGGGGGGGGGCTCACCACCCCTTCCTCCCTCCCGCCGGCCAGGCTGCCTGTTTCGTGAAGCAGGGCAAGTTCCCGCAGGCTGAGCAGCTGTACAAGGAGATCCTCTCCCTGCAGGACCAGGAGCCGAGCCCCCCCAGGGGCGGTAAGAGCCCAGCGCTGGGTGGCCCTTCCCCCGGGGGGAGGCAGGGCGGTGCCCAGGGCCTCAGCATCTGGATGCACCCCTTGAAACCCCCCCTCCCCTCCCCTCCTTCAGATTACAGCTGGACAGGAGCCGGCAACACCTGGGAAGGGCAGGTGAGTCCTTTGGAGATCGACCATCTGCAGGGGGATGGGGTGGGTGGGGTGGGGGCACGGAGAGCAAATCCTTTAAGCTGCTCCTCCCCCCCCCCCAGCCCTTTGTCCGCTGAGCCAAGCGAGAGGGAGGTGAAGAGGGCGGCGGGGGGGCCGGTGGCTACCTCCAGCTGCCATCTTGGACTGCAGGTGGTTGGGGGGGGAAGGCCCCCAAGTTTTGATCTGCCCCCCCTTCTCTCCAGGAGGGGATGAGGCGCAGCAGCTCCTTCTCCCGCTTCCGGGACTCCCTCAGACGCAGCAGTGAGAGGCTGGTCACCAAGCTGCGGGGCCAAGCGGTGGGGCAGCCCAAGGTCGCCGCAGGCCGCAGGTGAGTTGGGGCTCCCCGGGCGCCTCCAGGGCAAGCCTGGCCTTGGGAAGAGCTGAAGTGGGCCTCTCTTCCCCAGGATGACGCGGGCCACGTCCCTCGGCACGCTGCATGTGAATGAGGCTGCAGCTGCCCCCGCCCCAAAGGTGAGTCCCCCCCGCTCGGCAGGCGTTGCACCCCAGGGCCGTGGCCCCAAGGATGGCTGGGCTCCCAAGGGAAGGAGCCGCTGGGCCCCTCTGGCCAGGGCCGGGTAACCCTGGGCCAGTCCCTTCCTCAGCCCTGCGGGGAGGCCACGGCCAGCCGCTTCTGGACAGGCAGCCTGGCTGCAAACGACTGGAAGGCCCCGCCAGGTGCTGAGCCCGGGACACCCGGTGAGCAGCTCAGCTCCGTAATCCGGTTCAGCCCAAGAGAAGGAGCCAGAATCGGCGCATTTCTCCAAGCATCCTAAAGAGGCCTGAAAGGGGCCCCTCCTCTCCCCTCCTGCAGCCCACCCGGAACCTGAGCACCAGCACCCAGGACCTGGCGCACCGCTCCACCCACTAGGCCCGCCGGGGTCACCGGTTGGTTCGAGCGCTTAGCCGAGCGCTGCATGCATGGAAAGTCCTGCCAATTCACGAAGGACCCTCTCTCAGGAATGGAGCTGCTGCCGCCGCCGCCGCCGTCCCAAAGCATCACGGGGGACGGGGCGCCCGGAAGCTTCACCCCCCCCCCCCCGGCTATTGCCTTAAACTCCACGGGGCAGCAGCAGGAGCCTGCGCCCCGCCCCCCCAACTCCCACGGTGGCTCTTGTGAAGCCAAGCCTTATTTGGTTTATTTATGCACCTTATTTTCCCTTAAATAAAGGCTGCTGGAAATGAAGAACGTCTCTTTATTTTGGAGAGGTCTCTGCAAGCTTTATAGCGCCCCCAGGTGACCTTGGATGAAAAGGGTCACACGCCTCCCCCAGTTCTCTCTCTCTTGCGCACACACACAGAGAAACTCCCTCGAGTAGCAACACACTACTCCCCTTTATTAAAACCTCAGCCCAGAAATCCAGGATTAGTGGGGGGAGGGGGAGGGCTGAGAGGATTATCCGTCCGTCCCCCGCCCCCCCCGGCCGTTTCTCTTCTCTACCCGGCTCAGCTCCGCAGTCTGGGTGGAGGGATGGCCGGCCAGCCGGGGTCCCTGCCTGCAGAGCGTGACGGCTGGCGTGGCTGGCAGCCTCCACCGCCCCTCAGACCTGGTGGGCGATCTCGCGCACTCTGCGCAGGGTCTCCTCCGACTGCAGCTGCTCCAAGGTGAGCAGGGAAAGGCCCAGCTGGTCTTCCTGGAGGGGCAGCAAGACAGGGGGGGGGGGGGGGGGTCAAGCGCCCCCCGGCCGGGCCACCCCGCCCCCCCCGGCCCCATTCCGGAGCCGCTGCCCCCGGCGGTGCCGGGGGGGGGGGGGGGGCAAATTTAAAATAAAAAACCAAAATAGGCTGCCTGGGGAATTCTGGGAGTCCGTCAGCCTGAAAGCTGCCAACTTTGCAGGCCTCTGGGCGACGGGATGCCCCTCTTGCCCCTCCCCCCCCGGCCCACCTGGCGGAAGGGCTGGGCCATCTGGCGCAGGAAGTGCTTGGCCACCTGCACGGCCTCATCCAGCGTCAGGTTGAGGTTGGCCTCCGTCAAGTGTTCCTGGATCCAGCGAGGCAGCTTCCCCCGCTTGTCTGCCCGGGCGAAGCGCTGCAGGGAGAGGCGGGATCGGCCGCCGCCTGGCCCGCCAGCCAGCCCGCCCCCCCCCCCCCCCCCCCCACGGGGCACACCTTGTCAGCAAAGATCAAGAGGCCGTAGTCGGTCTTGCCGCGAATGGCCCGCCCGACGCACTGGGCCGCGTGGCGCATGGCATCAAACGTCAGGAAGTCGTTTTCGCGGATCTGGAACTGGTTCCTCAGGTACTCCAGCCGGGCCTGGGATGGGAGGAGGTGAGGGTCTTCTCCCCTCCACCCCTCCCCCCCAGGAATCAGCAGGGGTGGGCCAACGCTATGCCAGGTGCACCAGAAGTGTCGCCCCCCCCCATCAGCCAAGCCAACAGCGGGTGGGAAAACGTGCCACTTCTGTCCCGAAGGAGCCCACCCCCAATTGAGGCACTGGGGGGGGGGTCCCAGACCCTCCCCCAGAGGAAACGAAGGCTCTGCTGCCCGAGTGAATCGGAGCAGGAATCGGCCGAGGAGCTGCAGACCTGGAGCTCACCTTCAGGATGCGGCTTTGGGTGTAGACATAGGGGACGCCAAACATGACCACGGCCCTCCCATAGTGGTGAACTGGGGAGGGGAGGAAGGGGGGGGGAGGTCAGCGCTGCACCTAAAGAGGCCTTTTCCCTCCAACTTCAAGGCCTTCGTGAGTTTAAGGCAAGGCGCCCACTCCGCCCCAGGCCAGCTTCCGTGGCCCCGGATGCCCTTCAAAGCTTCTCCAGGGAGGGGGGGCACTCACCAAAGTCAATCCCTTCGGAGACCTTTCCCCTGGCCACCGACAGCAGGATGGCTCCCCGGCCGTTCTCGCAGGCCTGGGGTGCAAACCAACCGTCCTCTTGTCACCCAAAGTCAGAAATGCCGCCAGGGCAGCAAGTCCCGCCTCAGGACCAGACTTGGAGGGGGAAAGGTACGGGGTGGTGGTGGAGAACTTGCTCAACTGAGCCCCCCGCTCCTGCAACAAGGGCCCCCTCTCACCTCCTGGTACTTCTCCAGGGCCACGCTCGTCTCGGCTCCGTCCTGTGTCTCGATGAAGATGAGCTTGTTCCGCTGGATGTTCTCCAGGATCCCCTGGAGGAGCCCGAGAGGAGAGGGGGGGACCCCAGCTTCAGAGAGAGCCCACCCAGCCCGGCTCCTGGGCCTCCCCACAGCCCGGAGGGGCAGCTGGACGGTTGCTGTGAGACCTGCAGGATGCCTGGCTGGCTTTGCGCTCTGTTTCCACACACACACACACACACCCCGCAAAGCCTTTGATCTCCACCCTGCTTAAGGACCACAAAGGCAACCCCTGGATCAGCTGCTGAAAGGAGGTCGGAGGTGAAGGTGGCGCCAAGTGGATTATCGGTTTGGAATCCTTATGCAGCCCCCCCCCCCCAATGAATTCGGCTGACTTTTATCTAGGGCCACTTTGCCCCGACTGGAGGGCCAGGCTCTGGGGCACAGGGAGCGTGGCAGAAGCTCCTGCCAGGAGCACAGGAGGAGCTGGGAGGCCGGAGTCCACCAGGACAGCGGGAGAAGGGAAACCCTCCCCAAATCCAACAGTGGTCAGGCTGGCCTTCTGCAAGACCGGCCGAGCGTCTGACCGAGAGCCAGCCGGCCAGTTTGGTCTTGGATGCAACGCGGCCCCCATTTTACAAGCCTTTGAGTGTTCTCCCCCCCCCCTCGAAATTCTCAGGCCAGGAGCAGAAGGCCCCCAAAGCACGCACACACACACACACACGCGCGCACACACACACGCGCACACACGGGGAAAGCAGCCCGGGCCAAGCCGGCCTGGCGTACCTGCTCATACCAGGAGGCCACGATGTTCTCCATGTACTGATAGCTGGTGAAGAAGGCCACGATGCCGTCCGGGACCACGGCCGACATCTCCAGGAGGAGGTTGCCATAGTTGCGGATCACGGCTGCCGGAGAAACACTCCCCCTTCAGGCTCCCAGGCCTTCCCGGCCCCACACCATCCCATGGGGCCCACCCCCTCCCTCCCACTGCCCTCCCCTCTTCCGCTGAGCAGCCTGAAGGGACCAGGGAAGGGCTCTGCTGCCCCCTCCCCATCCAAGACCCTCACCAATGTCCTCGCGGGTTTCGAACTTGGAGCTGATGGTCACCTGGTCATTCCCTCGGCCCACAATCTGGAAGGGAAGCCAACAAGAGGAGCCAGTGGAGTGAGGAGGGGCCTGCCTGGTCCCCCAGAAGGGGAGGGGAGGGGGGGCCTCGGGCACTCACCATGGGGCAGAGGCAGGTCCGGGCAAGGGTCATGGTGAAGGTGGCCATGGTCACCGGCCGGAAGTCCAGGATTTGGGGGTACATGTCAAGGGGGGAAAGGGTCTACATGCAGGGAGGAGAGCAGCCGGTCAGGGTGGCAGCTTCCCCCACCTCCAGCCCCACAGAGGGGGCTCCTGCCGCTGGCCAAGAAGCCCCCCCCCCTGCCCCCCACCCCCCGCACTCACTCCCGAGGTGATGATGACCGTCTGGAACCGCTCAAAGACGGGCTTGATGGCGATGGAGGCGTCCATGCAGCTGGAAGAGAAGGCCCCGGTTTGCCTGGCGTGGGGCAGCTGGGGGCGAGGCAGGCAGCCCCCCCCATTTCAGGGGAGGGAGGGCAGAGCCAGGCCCTTCCCAGCCCCACCCGCCCAGCCAGAGCCTGCCCCCCCCCCCCCC